TGAAATGTGTGTGTGTGTGTGTGTGTGTGTGTGTGTGTGTGTGTGTGTGTGTGTGTGTGTGTGTGTGTGTGTGTGTGTGTGTGTGTGTACTTTTTGCAGGTGTGTGTGAGCATACTTTTCTGCTGGAGTGTTAGGTATGACCTGCCGCACCAAAACTCCACTACTGATGTCGGGGAAGTCTGGGTTATGAAGTCGCAACTCTTCGACAAGACTGTGGCACACGTAGGACACAATATTAATGCTATTAACACATTTTTACACATTATCATTTCAATTATGTAAAAAAAGGAAGTGCATCACATAAAACTAATTCCCTTTTCGGACATACTCAGACATGCAAACATTTGATTTTCTATGAAACAGCTCCTGCTGGCAAATCGAAGGTAAAGTTGTTTGGCTACAGACAAAGTAGACAAGCAGCAATACCAGCTCCTGAAGCCAACTTATGTTTCCCACAGAATAACACAGAATTTGTCGGTTTGTTTGTTAAATGATTTATTCACAAAACAAATGTTGCTCTTAGTATTATTTGGGTATGTCACCTTTATCTGTAGTAGGAAGTGTATTAAAGAACATTAGTGCAAAATTAATTTTCTCCTTACAGTCTAATATGTGTGTAACTTTGTAACAACTTACGCTTTGGTGATGGTGACCATCCAGATGCCTAAAAAATGTCTCTTAACTAGGGACGCGTCTGAAAGCACAACAATATAACCATAATTTAAACACAGCCTCATGCAAAGGTTAAGTTGGGCTGACGGGGAAAGATGAGCTGAAGAGACAGTTAATAACTATTTTATTAAACACATATTAAAATATAAATGTAGCCATTAAAATTATAGTCCAAATCCTGAGGATTTCATTTGTTATTAAAGATCTATTAACTTTGAGTCTACACTCTTAACTGCATGTTTTGCCATATATGAAAATAGTTATAATATTTGCACAAAAACGTCTTGTCTCTCACCTGCATCAGACTGTGGTTTGTCCATTTTTCTTTTCTGCTGTCTCTTTTCTGTCACAACAAAAACCAGTCAGAGTAGTAGGTAATGAAAATTAGAGACATATACTGGGGGGAAATAGTCATTTAAAGATATTTTAGATAATAAGATGATAAACTTCACAAAAAAAAGTCACCATCTTTCTTGTGTTTAATCTGTGACTCTGAGAGAAAGCGGCTGATGCGGTCTGCCGGTATAGCGAAGGAAATTCCTGCTGTCACTTTAAGAGTGTTGATTCCAATCACCTCACCATCCTGAAGGAAACACAAACACATGTTGAAAGACAAACACAACATGATGGCTGCCAAAAAGGACTTGATGCTGACATAAATATCAGCCAGTAAGAACTGAGAAAAATATGTCAAGATTTCCAGAAAAAAAAACTGCATCAGTTGGTATGTAGAGCCGAGCATATGGCACAACTACAGTTGCTATGATATATTGATAAAAACACAATGCATGTGCCCTTTTAAACGTGCACTCGTTTATGGCGTTATAAATGTGTCATTACACAGAACACTTTAAAGCATGTGACACATGATGTGTCACGATTGTGTCCCACTGTTACTGCAGTCAATGAAAATAAACTGCACGTTTCTACTTTGAGCTTTATTATAATTAATATTAGTAGAACTCCAGAATTGGAGTAACAGCTATAGCCGTTATAGCTAGAAAAAGCAGAAATAGTGGTATTATTTGGTGGCTGTAATATTTTAATCACTGGCCACAAGAAAATATGCTTGAACAAATCTGTAAATCAATTTTGAGCCATTTTGAGTTCATAGTTCATGGGACACAAGAGGGTTTATAAAACAAGCAAAGACTGTATCATATCGCAGGTTTTTGTGCTTTGGTTCTGCATTCTGGTTTCTTAGTATTTTTGAGTCTTAGTCATGTTTTATTTTTCTAATGTTTGAAGTTTAGATTTTTTTTTCAACCATATACATTTAATATGTGTAACATACTGAATTATATTTATGAAATAGAGCCGTTTCTATTTATTAGTGCTCTTTTGCTATATTTTTCAGCCTTGCAATACACTGTATTATTTCACTTAGTTTAGATAGTTACTTTTTTTGTTATTTTGGAGCAACGGTGACCACATAATTTTCTTAGGGATTAGTAAAGTCTTTTGATTCTGATTTTGTGTTTGTTGAACATCTGGATTTCCTGTTTTCATTTCTTGTTCTCGTAGAGCGTGAGTTTTATTTTTTTATGATATCTTGTGTTTTGATATTAGCAAGAGTTTCCATGTGTGTTCCTTTGTTAATTGTTAGTGTTTTACTTTGAAGGTTTGCTTTCTTTCGTGTCTTGCGTCAGTTTTGCTTCCTGTGCTCCTCTCCCTACTGTTTTCATCAATAATAATTTTTCCGTAATTATAATCCTGTCGTCCCTTTTTACTGTTGATCTTTGGAATTTCCTGTGTGTGCTCCTCCACTTCCCTTTCATGCTGTCCAGTTTATTTTCTTTGGAATTAACCTGGTTCTTTGTTCTTCTTTCTAGATTCTTTGGGTTTTCGTGACTCTTAACTTTGTGCTTCTTGAGCTGGTAAAGCTCACATTTTGTTTGCATTCTGTGCCTTGTTATGCACACATCTACAAAGCTATTTGTGACAGTTAATAGTTTCTTTAAATGTGCTGCAATACATACAACAAAATCAGGTATAATGTCTGTAGTGTATATCACACTTAAGCTCCATCTGTGCTTTGGGGAATAATACATTTGTGATATTCAGGCTCATATGACAATTTGGTGACTCATAACTGTTCAAATCAAATCAAATCACTTTTATTGTCACATTTTTTATGTTTATGTTTATGCTGCGTTAGTGAAAACTCCGTTCTTTGTTTGAGGCCAAACTGAAAACACTCCAAAATCAAATGGATCATCTACTGTACCTTAGAGAACACCACTTACCAAGTTAACAAGAGGTCCTCCCGAATTGCCGTACTTGACACAAGTATGGAAGATATAAAATAGAAACAAGCACAACAGTAATTCTTACACATATGGGAATATTAAAAGACAATTATGTAGTTCAATAATGCAATCAGTGTATATAGATGCAGATATTTAAAAATGTTTCACGTTAATAATAGCATCAGTTTGGATGTAGTCCATGTCTGAGTCCTTTATGCCCAGCTCTTTGCCATCTCTTTGTGTAGTGCTGACGATGCCGGTGGTGACAGTGTTCTGCAGGGCGAAAGGGCTGCCAATGGCAACCACAAACTCTCCTGGCCTCAGATCAGCCGAACTGCCCAGAGACAGCACGCGAAGTTTCTTCTGCTACAACAAGCACAAAAAAACCCACTCAAAAAATACCAGCACACAGGCGAAAACGCGAGTATGTCAGAGCAACACAGATGAAAAGAAGAAAAGACATTTAGAGGAAGAGGAATAGTTGAAAGCTTACAAAACTCTCCAGGTATTTCAGACAGGGGTGTGAGATTACACACATCAGCGCTCTGTCTGTGACTCACGGAACTAGTGTTTATGAAAGTCTTATTAATGTCTAGCAGAAAACTGTCAGATGTTGACAAAGAAATGTGTCAGGATGTGGGCTGTGTGGTTTATGTGGGCTCATTTAAGATTTATGGATGTAAAAAAATCTAAAGATTCATGTGTTTATATTTGAAAAGGAGAAGAGGGTAGAGAAGCTTATGATGATAGCATGTCAGGGCTTGTGCCCTTACCTGTGGATTGACCTTGATTGTAGCAATGTCTGCCTTCCTGTCTATGTCTTTCACCACGGCTTCATATGCATCTCCGTCGTGGAGCTGAACACGCAGCTGTGGCCTGCCTGTCACCAAGGCAGCTGTGGTTACCACATGAGCGTTGGTCACAATCACACCTGAGTGGGACACGATGAACCCAGAGCCACTGGAGAGCCGCATGTGGCGACCTAACAGAGGATGCCTGGAAACAGAGGGCAAATGAAAAATTATTAAAGCGAACGTGATTAATAATAACAATAATAATTAAAATGTGCTTTTCTTGCATATATTTCACATTCTGGTTGCCCTATATAGAAGTAATTTTGGCAGCTTGG